GGTAGAGCTCATTTGACCATACCAAGCTCAATTGGTTTGGATTTGGTCATAAGTCCAAAATGGTGTTCATGATCAAATCTTGTGTTTGGGCTAGGTTAGGCATGCCAATTGGCCCAATTAAATATGGAATTTGGTGTAGGAGATCATGAGGAACAACTTTCATGAAGGGTGAAAGTCATTTTGAGGTCAATTGGTTAATCAATTTGGTGGATTTTTTATTTTTGACACATTTTAAGCATGTAGGGCTAAGTTTGGGTAAAACTTGGGCTAGCCATGGGCTAAGTCCCAATTGATTGTTGTGTTTGGTGTAAAACATCATGATGAACAACTTTCATGAAGGATGAAAATTGTTTTGAAGTTGATTTGAAGGTCAATTTGGATAGATTTTGATGGGTTTTGGTTTTAGACCTAAATTAAGCCTTTAAGGACCAAATTGGGGGTTTTGGTCAAAGATGGTCAAATTGACCAAATTGGACCATGGTATAGTTGAACAAAATGAAATTGAGAATATTTTGGATTTATTGAGATTTTTGGAAATTTTTGGAATTTTTGAATTTTTGGGCCATTGAGATCATTTTTGGTAATTTGGTCATTTTTGAAAATTTTTGTCAGTTTTAGCAAATTTGAATGCATTCAAAGTGTTTGGAATGAGTTTTGATCAGTTTTGGGTATTTTGGCAAAATTTTAGAATTTTGGCCAAATTTGGGTCCCAAGGGCAGTTAGGTAATTTGGAGGTGCCTAGGGGCAAAAGGCCAAGTTGGGCATTTCAAGTGCAATTGGGTAGAGAACCATCTTGAATGAGTCATGGACCAATGAAATCTCCATTTTGGGTCCCCATATATTGGTCTTAGCCAGGGTATTGTGAGGGTATGGTGAGGGTATAGTGAAAGTATGATGAGGGTATGGTGTACCTTAGCTCCAAATCAACACCCAGGGTCAATCCTAAGGCCAAGTAGTCCTATAGGAACTCTCCTTGAGTTCCCTCATAATGATCTTACCTACTAAGTGCTAGAGGTTAGGACCAATATGTGGAACTTTAAGTTGAGTAAAGAGAAGAATTTTGAATTTCTAATAATGAAGGTACCTTTTCTAGTTTTCTAAGACTAGTCAGTAGGAAAGTCCTATGGCTAGACCTAGGCTACTAAAGAAATTTCTAGACCTCAACCAAAAGTGAGGTCAACACCCCTCCAAGGTTTTGTCGGTAGCCAGCACAACTGACTCCTATAAGGGCTCAAAATTTCCATCATCCTGTTTCAAGTCCCCAACATTCTACTCGCCATTATTCTTTGAAAGCAATAAAAGAGCATATTCAACGAGAAAAGAAGCTTCAATCAAACAAAAAAATAGTGCATTACCTTGGGAAAAGACCCAACGTTGGCTCGGTCCAAGTTTTCACCCTCTTTGGGGAGACCTCTGAAAGGAACGCTTCGGTTGAAGGAGACTCCCCAAAGACAGACCCTAGAGAAACCAGTTGATCAACGAATATATTTGCACTTCAACCAAATACGAGAAGTCATGCAAGCTCTTATAAGTTTAGAAAACTCAGTTTCCAAAGGTGATACATACTCGCCACCCGAGTCAGATTCAGCGGGAACCACATTGTTAGTTTCTCTCTTCCTTCTGAACAATTTGAAGAATGGACCTTTTACTAGATCGTTGAAGTCAAGAGAAATTTTCCCGACAGACAAATCTCAAGAGGCGATGTCACCTCAGTACCCCAGACAGCCTTCTCCACTATGCCCACAGGCAGATCCAACATCTTCACGACCTTTGCGAGAAGATTGCAAGACTTACCTTCCTCTAGACATTCCATTCCCCGAAATGTTTGGTCTTCTTTCGTAATTCCTCCTCTATAGACCTAAGTTCCTTCCATCTCTGTTGATAAAGTTTAGCCTAAAGGTGAGACCTAGAGATCTTCATCCCTTCAACGTTAGCCTTATTCATCGCAAGTGGTCATAGTTCCGCAATTTCAAAAATTGCAGCAAGGAATCACTCTTCTTAAAAAAAGGAACTCTTGGTTCCCATGAAACGCCTTTTTATAGGTCCCGAAGGGAGTACACCTTTAAAAGTTCGCAAGCGGTTGAGCTAAACCCACCTGCCAAAATGATTGGTCTCACCCAGGGCGAACCAGTCATCGGGGAAGACATCATTACTTACGACATGTGTCAATCCTTGCTTATGGCATCATTTGACACTCGCATCATTATTTTTTCACCAAGACACCGCGGATAGGCGTACTACCGTACAAAATATAATTTTATATTTCTTTTATCTCAGATATAAAAAGTGGTCAAAGTGACTTTCAGAGGATCTACTTTTGGGACCTCGGAAATGGACTCTTCTCCTTCTTTTTTTGTCTCTCTCCCTCTAAGCTTATTCCTGGCTGCCAGGAAATCAGAAGCGAATAGACAATGACAAACACTAGCACTAGCAACACATTCATCATCTTCTCCCATGCCTTCTTCCTAACAACAAGGTCTTTACCAATTTGTACAAACTCACGAACAATATGGAACCCTACGTCCTAAAAAGATTCAACAATTATCAAATATAAATTCTTTGAAGGCTAGCAAAAGAGAAAGTTGGCACATTCAATTGATATAATAAAAATATCTTCCAATATATCAAATTCCAAAAAAATAAAGCATGATCAAGCATGCACATCAATACAGAAGAATAAGGGAGTAGAAATTATTCTTCTCAATTCCTCCATATATTCTACAAACAATTAAACTGGATGGAAATTTGACCATGAAATTCCAGGGAAACAGGCATCAAAATGAAAATCTTTACAAGATATGGTTTTTCTCACAACAACCTCCTCTTTTATTTTTTAACAACAGAACTCTTATATAGTGATCATTAATCTTGGTTCCATTAACTACCAGACAAAAAGAGAGCAAAGAAAAAGTAACAAGCCTCATGGAGATTGGAATGGCAAATCTAAAGAACAAAATCATGTGTATTGAACTGAAAGTGTATATCTTCTCAAGATATAAGCCAAGTTAATCCAGATTTTAAGATTCAATAAGGGCACAGATGATGGTGACAGTAGCCCAACAAACAGCACTGTGTGAATTCCATAAAAACAATAGATAATTAAACAAACAGACAAGGAAAATATTACTAAAAGTACAACGCATTAAAGAATGATAAATTTTAAAGCATTTGACAAAAAGCTCACAAAAGGGTTCTCGTCACTCTAGTACCTGCGCAATTTGTTCAGGTACAGTAATTTTCCACAGGATTGATTTTTCAATAGGATTTGAGGTTACACGATAAGAGAGACCTCTTTCAGCAAATCTGGTAAGAAGATGCCCTAAATTCCATAAAAAAAACTACTTCGTCATAATGCAAATTACAAAAAAAATTATAGTTAGAAAAACTGGAATACCTCCAATTGATCCATTTTCAAGAAATTTAGCATCAATCTCAGCTATAATAGATTTCAAAGCAAGCTTTCCCTTCTCCCATTTTTGCTTTTCCTTCTCCAGCTTCTTCAATTCAGCAGCATCTGCTTTCAAAGCCTCCTTTTGCAGCTTCTCTTCCTACATTTTGAAAAGAAATTTCTCCTCACGAAATCCAAAGAATAAGCCTAAAAAGGCAAGCTTGGTCCAAGAGGTTACCATCAGTAATAATGACTATTTCCACAATTTAAGCCATGTGCTCTATATCAAAACTGGCAAAGCCTAAAAGTTACACTTAGATCCTATCTCTGTAACCAAATAATCATACCAATACAAAATTTTATGTTAATACCAACCTGCCTCTTTTGTTTCCTTTCTTCTATTAAAAGTGCTTTTGCTTCCTTCAATTGTTTCCTTCTAGCAGCTGCCTCAATCTTATCAGCATGAAGCGCTCTCTGCTTTCCCTTCTTTTTTACAGGACTTGGTGATAGCCTCAAATCACTCTTACGATCATCCTCATTATCATCTTTTGCCTGCATAATATGTATAAATTCACAACTTCATTAACTTGATTATTAAAGCAATGAGCTAATAGCACATAAATGAAAAATATAATAACCAAAACTTTTAAACCTCAACAAACCAGTTTAGAGTTAGTGAGTTGCCATCAAATGTATTCTACAATAAATAGCCTGAACAAAACGCTCGACAAATTCTATTAATATAAGTGAAAACAATAATCTCGTTTATAAATGCCAAATGAAAATTACAAACATGATTTGCAAAGAGTAAAGGATAGGGTTGCCATCTGATTTTAGCAAAACATATTATGATTGCAAACCATTCGTGCTCCTGTAAAACCTGAATTATAACTTTTTCCAGGAGATTCAGAAAGTTAATTTATTTCCTATATTAATTTCAACTTGTTAATTATAATGGTAATGAGCTAGCTAGCATTTCTTAAATATTATTTTCAAAATATCCTCCAAAAAAAATAGCCACATAGAATATTGCATATATTACTCCCAATTATGATTTTAAAATAAAAAATCAAAAGCATCATTTATAATGACCAGTTACCCTTGTTCAATAGTTGTTTCAAATCTATTCAACTTCGCTCTCAAGGAAATCTATACTTCACATGAATATCATAGAGACATTTAAGAAAAGCATTTATCTATTTATTAAAATAAATTATTTTCATTAAGAAGGTTAGTGATAAGAATTATCCAGCAGGATCTCAAGGAATAAGTAGTGACAACATAATAATCTGGCACAGCATATGAGTACAGCCGCGCTCAACCTAGCAAATAGTTCCAGATAAACCTCAAACAAACCAATGAACCAAGCGGTAACATAGTTTATAAACTCATTTAATTAATTAAAAAAAAGGCAAGGATTCGCTTCATAATTTTTGGCTCGGGATAGCTCAATTATGTTGGCATACATAAATATAAGTATAGTCTACAATTTTTTAAGATTGGAAAGCTCAACAAAACAAGGCCTAGCTCGATCATATTCAACTTGGTAATAACTCAACTTTTACATATATGCATCCATTGGTTGAGATATCCATTAATCAATGCACAAATGTATTCAACTAGATGCTCTGTAGTAGATTAAATCTATTCTGTACAATAAATTAATAAGCTCAATGTTAGAGAAAAACAAATATTTTGCTTGATAATTGATTTGAGCTCCACTAGATATTTTTTTTTATTAAAGCTACACTTGTTCGTGAAGCAAGCAACCAGAACTTCAAATTACATAGTGGATAAAACACATCATTGATCAGCTCAGCCTTACAGATAGCTCATTTGTGACTAATAATTTGCTAGTTTAGTTTTTCCTGTGAAGCAAACCAAGCATAAACACGGTTAACAAGACAAAGTCTTCAAATTTATAGAAGAAAAATTCATACAAGATTTTATTATCATTCATTAACAGCGCCTAGAATTTAGCCAGTATTAAAACTTGATGAACAGCTAGGCTTGGCTGGCCACTCTCATGTTCCACCATCACCAGGTTTTTCTTCTTCTTTTTTTCTTTTTGAAAACCTTAAAAAGAGATATTGAAGAATTATTGATGTACATGGGACCAGATTAGTAACAGACCAACAACCATATGGTGTTCTAATTTGAGTAAGGAAACAAAGTTACTTGGTGGAGCAGGAGCAGTAAGAAACAGTTCAAATGCAGAGTTCAAAGCTATGTCTCATGGTGTATGTAAAGGTATATAGCTAATAAGGTTTCTCAAAGAGCTAACAATTCAACAAATAAAAGAAAACCCCATAAAATTATTCTAAGATAATAAGGCTACTGCTAGTATTGCAAATAATCAAATTCACCATGAAAGAACAAAGCATGAGGAGATAAGTTAATACTTCATCAAAGAAAAATTGAAAAAGAAATCATGGAGTTTATATACACTTCTACAAACTACAAATATTCTAAGCCTTTCTAATGTTCCAATCTTGAAATCATTCTGTTCAAGCTAAGAATGATTGTCATCAATAACCCTACTTGAGGTAAAGCTTAGATTTTCATTTTTCTCTGTCTTTGGAATGTACGGGTTTTGAATTCACATACCACGAAATTCAATGTCACAATCATCTTGCTTTGGTATGATGTCTATTGGGAATAATAGAATCTGGTATAACTCCTGATGACAGCTTCTATTTTTTATTCTTTTTTACTTCTTGGGTATAGTAAAGAAGACAGAAATGTTCGATGTGTTTGGGTGCCAAATCGATCCACTTCGTCCTTTCATGTCCTAGTATACATGTATACTTATTTTTGAAATAAAAAAATTGCTCTCCTTACAATTTCAACAATATATAAAATCCCAATGTGGTCAGGAAAGACCTAACTCCACGCCCAAGCTTTATTATCTCTATAGTTGGCCTGATTTTCCCAATATTGAGCAGCTCATCACTCAAGAGGCTATCAACCTATTTGGCATCACTTTCTATGTATGTATATGTTACTTTTATCATTTAATGAACTCATAAGTCAATTTATTTTGTGCTTTAGAAAAGCATGATAGTGTGTGTTGTGGTCAAAGGCTTTCGTGAATCAGATAGAAACATCCTCGACTTCAGCGCTGGGTTGGCCAACGAATTGCATCGGATTAGCCAACAGTAGGTCCACAGTTAGTCGGCAATGGTTCTAGTCTTACCGGCATGATTCATCGATTATATAATTGGGAGTTCATGTTTAAAAATTAAAAAGAAAAGCTAAAGGTATTTTAGGTGTTGATTTGTTTCTAAAAACAAAAATATTTATAAAAGAATAGCCAAATATGCTTGCCTAAATTTTTTAAAATAAAACAAAAAAGATGCCAAACAAACCAAAAGTTAATGGTTCTTTTTTTTCACCTCCCTAATTCGTTGCTTGTAGCTAAAATTGTTTGATGCTCTCAAATATGAAAAATAGTGTAGTATCGATGGTAACTAGTCAACATAGCCATCCAATGAGAAAATGTAAATAAAATATTATCTAAACCTCAATGAATCATAGAACAAAGTTTTCCTCAAAAATGAATATTTAATAAGTGAGCCACACATGCTATTCAAAACTGTTACATCATTTTCCATACTACCTTCATGAAGATTCATAAGAGACATTCAATTTGGTGAACCGTATAGGAAATGCACAAAATAAGAAAGAAAACTAACAAAACAATAAGGTTCACTAAAAAAAAACTTTTTAATATGAAAACTGAAAGGATTAGTTCATGTACAGTATCAAAAAGAAATTATGAGATAAATAAAAATTTTAGAAATTATTTGTGACAATGAAATGTCTTGCTGTGTAAATACAGCTTTAGAATGGTCAAGATACCTGGGCAACAAAATCCTCTGCCAGGCAATCATCACGAGGAAGATTATCTCCTGAAATCTTGATGAAAGCAGATACGCCTAAAACATTAAACTTAACCCATTACTGAACACAGGGAACTCTTCATTAAAACCATCAATTGCTATAGACAAGCCTTTTAAGATCCATACCAGCATATTTATCAGATGAATCAAGTTTAGCAACTCTAGTAACTGCTTCCAAGTCAACTTCACATGTTACATTTTTCAGTAATAGTCCATCAAGTTCATTTCCAGCAGCTGAATCCAATCTAGGATTTCCCAAACTAGGAGACCTGGAGAGGTAAGCTTCCCTTCCAAAACATTCGATCAAATGCCTGGATTTCTTCAAATTTCCTCTATTGGAACCACCCTCAGACTCATTATCTGACTCTAGGCATATCAAACTAGATATTCCTATATAAAAATCATTAAAAAAGTTATGACTATAAACCGCAATAATATCATCATAATATCTATGGAAAAGGTCAATCTAAAACCTAAGCCCAAAAAAGAAACATATGTGAGAAATAGCATCCTTCGCATTGCATATATGCTTTTTTAATTAATAAAATGGAATACACCAGAAAAGGAAGCAGCACACAAAGTGTTAAACCAAGCACAGCCTACCTTAGCCAAGTAGTTGGAACTTTGGCACACAACAATGTGGTTACAGGCCTAGCGTACTTGAGTGTGCATGTGAAGCTTGTAATATATTTGTTCGGTATCATAAAAAATGTCAGCCCAATAAGGCAAACATAGCAAAATGCTCTGTTATAAGGCTATGTTAGAACCCTGTGCAGGTCAACACACAAGGATTTACGCTACAAAGTTTCAAATGATAGTATGGCGTAAGAAAAGCTTACAGAAATTCTGAGGAAAATACATTAAACATTAGTTCAAGTAGATGTGATTTATGTGTGCCAAACACCATTGGAGCAAGGCAATAACCATTATAATTACACCTAATGCATGCACTGGATTAAATACTTAAGCCACGTTTGAGATCACTTTTGTTTTTTATTTTCTATTTTTTTATTTTTATTTAAATTTTTTATGTTTTTTTTTTTTACTTTAATTAAAGCATGGTTGGTTGTGGTAGTTATTTGTAAAAAGACTCAAAACATGTTTTAGGTATTTGAGTTTTTTTAAAAACAAAGCGATTTGTTTTCAAAAATAAGAAATAAAAACAAATACAAACCAAACATGTTTTCAAAACAAATGTAAAAAACTAAAACAAGAACAGAAATCAAAAGTGATGCTAAACTAGACTTAGTTAATGGATTTCTAAAAAGTTAGTAAGGTTGCAATGCAGAAAAACAAATACTATTGCCAAATAAAAGTTGTTACAAGGCAATATAAGAACAACACATGCCAAATTAAAAAGCAAAAAAGTGGAAAAAAATCCAGTTGGCCAACCGAAAGCTTAGAGGCCTATATTACAAGAATTTTCAGAAGCAATGAGAACTATGAAAGCAGTTTCTGGAGAAAAAATTAATGATGCACGGAGAACTTTCTCCAAATGGTTGTCATGATCCAAAACCCATTTGGCTTTTTCAATATGACAAATACTAAATACTTGTAACCTAATTCAAGACATACAATTTTGCTAGTTGGTAAGCTACACGAAAAGGAGCAACTTGTACGACCTCTCTAAACTCTTTAGGCCCAAAACTGAACAATTTTATTGCAAACTTACCAATAAAATAAAAAATATAACATAAAAACAGCCACAAAACCTGCATTTTCTTTTCTATGCTAAGAACAGCAACCCTAGGGTTAGAGCATCTACCAGCGAACTTCTCCCGAGAACTTGCCCGAGAGAGAGAGCACTTGACGATGGACGCATCGGAGCCGAATGATAACGGAGTTTCAGCGACGACGGAGGGCGTGCAAACAGCATTACCCTTCTGAGGGGTTGGGTCATCATCAATAATCAGAAAGGTCGGAGCGGATCCTCTGCCCCCGCCATACAAATTCTCCGGCGACTTCCTCTTCGCCGGAGGAAGTGGATGTGAGAAGGAGCAGAGGGCGTCGTCTTCCTCGTCGGAAGGTATGTTCACGGCAAATAACGGTTGGGAACGGCCCATCTCCAAGGGAACGGGGATTTCAGGATTCAAGTAGGGCAATTAAAAATTACACGATTTGAGATGTTGAACAATTTCTCAGGACACTCCATGCAAGCCGGCTCGTGTTTCCAAAACCAGAAGTTAACACGGAAAAATTACCGTAACCCATCAAGATGTACGATGTTTGGCCTTATTTCAAATTTTTTAAAAAAAATTTAGTTTGATGAACGGTGTAAATCAGACACCGTGTGTAAAAATGAATGATGTTCGTATGTAATAATTTTCTTTCAGAAAAGGAGGATTTACGCTAAAATTTTGCATTTAGCTATCTAACGCCTAAATTTTAAATATTATGCTTAAATTGATGTGTGTGTGTATTAAAATTAAAAATTATAAAGAAATTCAATTTCATCAAACTTCTAATCAAATTGATTTGAAGTTAACTCAATCCAAATCAAATCAGCTTTGTATAAAGCCGATAAGTCTTTTTTAGAAATTTTTGGTGTTTAATTGGAATGTCAAATGTATTTTAAATCTCCGAAGCTTATAATAAAATCAAATGTATGGATGAAACGAATCCAATAAACCCAAAATTACTGGATTTTAACATCGTTAAATCACTAAAATATCCACAAGACGTTGTCAGATTGAGAGAATATATCGGGGCGTCCGATGGAATGGTCTTTATTACTTTCTTATTTGATTTTCTTTCATGAATAAAATGTTTATTTTATTATTTCAAAGCAACAGTGGTGAGTGTATTCTTCTTTCTCATTTGGATTGATAATTTAGAAATTCAGTATTTAATGCACATAATGTGATTCAATTGAAACTATATAGATGTGATAAACCAACATTTTGTACTTAAATCACATTCAATTTGGCTAATGGTTAATTTAAAATATTTTATGATCTAGTTGCTTGAGAGCATGCTACTGAAATAAATTAGGTTAACTTACATTGACTTGGGAGAATACATATATTGCTTCTAGTTTTGTGTAATCGTGTAGAAAAATATGGAATCTTGGGATAATCATTTGATTTAAGAAACTAAACATGTTTGATTTCCAAACTTTATTAGACAAGTGGAAGGGGATAAAGAGGAGTTTTATTCATGATTGTCACCCATAAATTTTATCACATTGTTAAACTTAGATTCCTAAAAACTAATTCATGCGATAATTTTACCATTTATAGGGAACATCATAGCTTTCTCACTATTTTCACCTTGGTTTTACTCTTACAAAAAATTAGGATTAGTAACTTTTAAAAATCATCAAATTTTAAACACTTCAATCTGGACTATTAATCAGTAGTCTAAGACTTTTCCAGAATTAGAAATTAATAAGCTCTCATGGAATCGATGCACTGACTCACATCAATATAATATTTGATCAACATGTTTTCTTATGTGGATAACCAATGCTTCGTAGTATTTTGTTCGCATCAAGTTTTTGGAGCTGTTGTTTGGGAACGACATTAAATTTATATTTCGATTAATATTTTAGTTGAACCGTTAAGTTATAGATTTGAATTTAGAAAATCCAAAATTATATCGTGTTTCATGCTTCTTGTTTCCCGTGTTTATTTAGTGTTCTTACTTTACTACATTTTAGTGATTGTAAAACTGTGTATTGTGTTTCCTTGATAATTTTAGCATGTATAACTACTTAGCTTCTTGTTCGCAGTAGTTTATTTCTTGTGATTTGTTATATTTGTTAGTTTAGGGCTACGCATTAGATTGTCCTTATTATGTATGTGTAGGATTGAAATTTTGGAACTAGTACCGTATGTCCCTGAACTTTAAAGAACAATAAAAATATTAGAAAACTTGAAAGAATTAAAAATAAAGTTATAGATATGACGAACTTACCCCAAGAGAATATCATGTTTAGACCACTTATGACATTTGTCAACCCGTCGGCAGAGGAAGTTCATTTTATTAACAACCTTGTCGTGAAAGTTGCATATTTTAAACTTAAACTAGTTATCATCCAAATGGTATAAAACAATAAAATTGGGGGATCACCCACGTAAAACTCTAACCTTCACTTGGCTAGTTTCTTTGAATTATGTGTCACATTTAGGTAATAGTGTTTCCAACGACACTGTTACACTAGGACTAGTCCCTTTCTCAATCAGGGATAAAACTAAAATATCACTAAACTCATTAGCACCAGGATCAATCACCAATTGGAACAGCTTAACCCAAAAATACCTAGTTAAATATTTCTCTTCACCTAAGATTATCAAATTTAAGAATGATATCAAATCATTTACCCAATTAGAGGGAGAATCTATTTATGAAGATTGAGATATACTCAAGGAATTGTTTAAAAGATGCATATAGTATGCCCTACTTGACTGACTGATCTTTCAAACCTTTTACAATATGTTGGTGGGATTGTTGAGGTTGATATTAGATGTTGCGGTTAGGGGTCTCTCATGTTAAAGCCATTTGAGGAAGCTTATTCATTGATTGAGAAGATGAATATTAATAATTTTCAATGGCATTATGATATAGTCAACTTTAGGAAGGTGGCTAGTGTGCACGACACATATTTGTTAACAATCCTAACTTCACAAGTAGTTATAATATTCAAAAAGTTAGATAATTTAGGTCTGAATTTTGCACCGAGATTAGCAGTAATAAAGGAAAATGCTTATGAATAACTAGTTAATTCTAGTGTTATGCATGTAGATTATACGAATGACATAACCAACATCTACATAAACTTGTATCCCAGCATCTACAACCCATGCTGAAAAGAGCAAGCAAAATTTAACAAGAATAATAACTACCAATGTGTAGAAACTCAGTAGCGAGGTAGCAACAAACATAATCCTGTAGGTAATTGGAATAACCAGAATGGTGGAAACCATAGACTAACCTACCCACCACAATTCACTTCTCATATATAATTTAAGAAAAAAAATTATCGTTGGAAGAGATTATGTTACAAATGAGGAATCCTTTATAAAGTTAGGTTGTATTTTAAAAAATTATCGAGAACCAACCAAGATAAATATTTAATTCCTCAAGCAATCAAACAAACGGGACATTACCTAGTAACATATAAGTGAATCCTAAAGACCAATAAAATGAAGGTGAAAGCCATTCAGTTAAGAAGTGGGAAAGAGAA